ATGTGGAAAAAAATTTATATAAACGTTTGTGTGGATTATGTGAGCTTTTGTCTGCATTACAAAGCCATTGCAATGCCGATATGGATATCGCACCATCAAATGTGCCAGGTTTAAAAGGCATGCCCTGTCCCATATCTGTCAATAATAAATCTCCACTAACTTCACGATCTACAGCTACTTTTAGCATAGATGCTGCTATATCTACACCAATCCACACATGATCATTATCTTCTAGGACACTACCTGAGAGACCAGAACCACAGCCAATGTCTAATATTAATTTACATTCTTCCTCCTCAAGAGCAAGTAGCTCGAAAGCGCGTTCAGCCATTTCAACTTGAATTTCAATAATACGAGAGCTATTAAAAGTGGACGATTAAAAAATATAACAATAACATAAATATATACAATAAACAAATTACTTGGTTGAATATTTATTAGCCTCGTCGTCATTGTAAAACTAAATATACATTTAATTAGAAATAATTATGCTTTATTTTTCTGCAAGAACTTACAATCTCAGGTGGTGCTGCGTGCTCAGGTCTTCTAGCCATAATATACAAAAGTTATTATATATCTAATTTATTTTTAAAATGTTTTATAGATAGGATTAATTATCTGAAACTTCAACGTATTGTTTATGAACTTAGCACGTGTGTATATTTGCGGCTGTTTGCATTTAAAAGTGTTCCATTTCACTCGTTCCTATAATAACGCAAATGTTTCAATACATAAACTTTTAACAGCTGTTTAGCAAAATTGACATTTCAGTTTTGTTTTGATTGGTTTTAGTAATTTACGTAAATTAATGTGAAATTTACATTTGTGATATAATACATGGCGTGTATATTAAGAAGTGTGATAAAATCTACTTTGCAAGGGTATTTTGTTTAAATAATTTTTATTTAAGTAATCATGTATAATTTTTAAAGAAGGCAAACTGCGTCTAGATGTGTGAAAGCAGTTATTCATAATGCAGCGGCTAGCAACGCTATAGCCAATATCAATGACAGTAAAGTCGAAACAAAACCAAAGCTATTACTTAGTGACTCTTGCATAAAACGTTTACGTGAAATTTGCCAAGATGGTTCATTTCTGCGTATTACTGTGGAAGGTGGTGGGTGCTCTGGTTTTCAATACAAATTTGATCTAGACACCAAGATACAAGAAGACGACCTCCAATTTGGGGAGGAGAAGGCAAAAGTTGTTATCGATAATGTATCGTTGGAGTACTGTACTGGCGCTACGGTTGATTATCACATTGAACTAATACGTTCAGGTTTTAGAATGATGGCAAATCCGCAGGCGGAACAGGGTTGCTCCTGTGGAGCTTCCTTCTCAATAAAATTAGACTAAGAAATTGTAGGCTTACATTGTTAGTGTTAAATTTACATAAACTTAAAAAGAAATTAAATAATTTTATTTCTATATTAAATATATATATATATGAATATTTATCGAAAATGCACAAATGTTTAATTTAAATATTTTTATAATTTTTATAAGATACAAGAAGACGACCTCCAATTTGGGGAGGAGAAAGCAAAAGTTGTTATCGATAATGTATCGTTGGAGTACTGTACTGGCGCTACGGTTGATTATCACATTGAACTAATACGTTCAGGTTTTAGAATGTTGGCAAATCCGCAGGCGGAACAGGGTTGCTCCTGTGGAGCTTCCTTCTCAATAAAATTAGACTAAGAAATTGTAGGCTTACATTGTTAGTGTTATAAATTTACATAAACTTAAAAAGAAATTAAATAATTTTATTTCTATATTAAATATATATATATATGAATATTTATCGAAAATGCACAAATGTTTAATTTAACTATTTTTATAATTATTAAACTAACAACATGTTCAATACATATAATGTTAGGTAAACAATCAATAATACAGGACATAAAGTATTTAAGTTGTTGTAATTGATTGACTTTAAAGTTTTTCTCAACTCAATAAATACAGTAGGCCGTAGCGGTTGAGAATTCCTCCGAGATGAAAAAGTAAATATATTTTTTAAGCATGTAGGAAAAAGAAACTTAAATTTTATATATTTGCCAAATAACATACTGATAATAATTTTTCGCTTCATCAATTTTGAAATCTTAAATAAATATATTTCATTATTTTTCAAAAAATTTAACGTGTAAGACTTTGAACATTTACCATAAAGTCAAATAAATTATATGTACTTAAAATATATACAACATATAAAAGCACAAATTTTAATTTTATTAAATTATTTACATCCGGCTAACTGTTCACTTAAACTTATAACTTGTTCCGTCAACACACTAATTTGTTCTTCGTAATTTAATCGCGTTGTTGCCTATAGGATTTATAGATTATAATTAAAAAATATTGCTTACATAGACAACAAGTGCTTACTAACCAAGTCTTCCTCTAGTATTTGTAGCGCTTGACTTATACTTTTCATCTGTTCATCTTTTGCTGTAAGCTCATGTGTTGCATTTTCAAGACAATTTTGTAAATGATCTACTTCAGTTTCAAATGATGTAATACGAGATTCTGCAATACATTTGTCCTTTAAGAGATCCTCGAATTTTTTACTAAAATTATTATAAATGAGTTCCTCCTTAGCTGGAGGAAGCTGTGTTTCTTTCAAAAAATCACGAACACCACGTTGCGCACTAAAATTTAATAAATTGGAAATTTACTTGGAATTGTAGTTCTAAATTGTACCTTTTTGATTCGCCAACATTAGTTCGAACAGTAATACCCGCCGCTGCTGAACTGCAACTGCAGTTTGCATCATTCAATACCACGGAAGTTGATTTCAGAACATTCTCAGCTTTACTATTACCAAAGGCTTCACTTAATTTTAATATTTCATATTGTGCACGCCAATGTGCCACTTCCTGTTCTAAAAACGCTAAACGTTCTTCTTTCGTATGCATGGCCGCTGCTACATTAGGTAATGATATATGATTATGATCGATACTATGTAAAGGTGTATTATCGCTGCCAGATGCACTTAAAGCATCCTCACTACCAAGCTTTAGAAAAATATTGAAATTGTTTTATCACTATTTGTGTAATTATAGCCAAATCATACCATGCTTGTTGCTTCTATATATTTTGTTTCCAGCTCAGCATTTCTGCTTTGTAATGTCTCTACATCTTGTCGCAAGCGTTGCTCCATTTCAGTATGTTCATTAAAACGTTTTTGTAGAGTTTGTTCTAAATTTTGAACACGTTCAATATGTAACTTAAGTTCACGATCCTTGTCATCTATCTGTAAGCAAATTATTAATAAGTGTGTATCATTATAAATTATATTTTCATGAAATATACCAACGAAGTTAATTGAGCATTATCCATTATTTTCTTTTGCAATTCTTCAAATATAAGTTCATCTTGTGCTCTATCAGTTTTGTTGGTTACCACTCTCGCACCATTGCCTCCACCAATTCCTCGTTGTGTTTCGTTTTGACGTTTTTGATCCTTATCATTTTTACGTTTCTCATTATTAGATAGTTCTTCTTGTAAAACAGCCACTCTATGTTCCAACTGCTTGTTACGAAAAGAAATTGAGTCCATTTCCTGCTCAGAACGTCTGCAATCTGCTTCGCGTTGACGCAATTGCTCACGAAGCACTGCATTCTTTTTGTTCTCCTCCATGCAGTATTTTTTCAATGTTAACATATCAGAACGTAGCTACAGGCATAGATACAAAAATATTTCCAAATTTTTAAATTAAAATAAAGGGGCGTACCTTTCTGCAAGCATTGACTAATCTTTCCACTTTAGGATCCATTTCAATCCCACTTACAATATAATTTTATTAACACAAACTGTGAATACTTATTTTCCTATAAATTTAATACATTTTCTATTTCAATATGCACACATGGATAAAATATTTATATTGACAATATTATATACTTTCAAGAGTTATATTTTTTGCCCGTACATATTTATTTACTTAAAAAGTTTATCGTCTCTGTTGGTATAATTTTTTCCGTCACACAAACACAATAACACATATTGAGAACGAATATATACAAATTTATTGTGAATGCATCAAATTTTGACAACTCATTTTTGGCGTTCCATTGAATGTGTGGAGTTTGACGTATTTTTGCCGCATACAGGTACTTTGGAAAATTGAGAAATTTAGTTTAAATTAGTAAAAAAGAGTAACGATGTCTGCAAGTTCGGTTGATTTAAGTTCATATCGTGATCAGCATTTTAAGGTAAGTTGAGTTTTTAATTGAAAGGCATTGAATTATATTTTATTTGTGAAGGGATCTCGTATGGAGCAAGAACGTTCACTTCGAGAATCTACAACCTTATATATTGGAAATTTATCATTTTTTACAACCGAAGAACAAATTCATGAATTATTTTCACGCTGTGGAGAAGTTAGACGTATCGTTATGGGCTTAGATAAATATAAAAAAACTCCTTGTGGTTTTTGTTTTGTGGAGTACTACCTGCGTTCGGAAGCTGAAAACGCTATGCGGTACATTTAACAATATTAACGTTTAAGTTCACTTCAATAATTTATTTTGAATTATTTTTCAGATATATAAATAGTACCCGTCTGGATGATAGACTCATTAGAGTTGATTGGGATGCTGGCTTTATTGAAGGTCGTCAATATGGTAGAGGTAAGACTGGCGGTCAAGTACGTGACGAATATCGTACAGACTATGATGCTGGTCGTGGGGGTTATGGAAAGTTGCTATCCCAGAAAATTACCCCGAACACAGATAATCGTTAGACACTGAAAATGTATTCTATAGTACGTAAGGTTGTCTAAGACTTAATTATATTTAATAAACAAAATCTTTTCTATAAACATTATTACTAAGTCACTGAAAACACAAATGCAAAACTCGCATATAAACTATTAGCTAAAATTTAAAAATTCAAAATAAGTATATTTTCAATATCAATTGTTTATTATAGCTTAACATATATGTATTAATAATGTACATAACTTGAATAAAATAAAAGATATTTTTCCACTGATTATTTAAGACCTGCAAATAACATTTTTTTCTTAAGACTAAGAGTGCAGCATACAATTTGTTGATAAATGCATAATGTATTTTTGGGAAAAGTCAACATAATATACTTCTGAAATCATTGTCTTGTGTCTTTAACTCCATTGCGTTATCGTACGTATGTATATAAATTGTAATCATTATACATATACACTTTATATAATGCTATATTTATATTGATAATACTATAATTCACAAAACATTAATTATACATACATATGGATACACTAGTGCACATTCTCTTCATTGATTTCAGACAAGCATTTGATAGTATTGATAGAAAAATTATCCAGGAAGTCCTGCGGTCACTCAGAATCAATCCGAAGCTCATAAAACTAGTAGTGGTTACAATGCACGACACGAGTGGAAAAATGATGGTGCAAGACATCCGAACAAATGCTTTTAAAATTAAAAATGGAGTGGAACAAGTTCATTCGCTTTCAACCAAGTTGTTCACGATGCCATTACGCCGCTAGTGGTAACAGGGAACATATTCAATACCACATCACTGACCATTGCCTACGCAGACGACATAGCGATCTTAAACAGGCCACTACACAATATGAAAGAAAAGTTCGTCAATTTACAACTTAGAGTTAAGGTAGTAGAACTAAACATAATCGAGAACTAAAAATATATGAGGGTTGGAAGAAACATGCACAGCCAAATTGTAGAGTCTATTTACGTCGGTGATTTCATTTTTGAAGAAGTTGAAAGCGCTAAATACCTGGGTATCCTGATTAATAGCAACAATGACATCAGTTTTTGTATCCAAGACAGAATTGTGGCAGCAAACAGAAGTTATTACGGACACACAAAAATCTTCAAATCTAAAATCGTGACTAGAAGCGCCAAACTACACGCTTACAAGGCTTACATCGTCTGCCTGGTATTATGTTACGGAGCCAAACTTCGACTTTAACGACAGTAGATGAAAACGAAATCAGAGCTTTCGAAAGGAAGGTGCTGTGAAGGATTTATGGTCCCATCCGCCTGAACCACGAATAACTTCGTCGGTGCACGAACATAGAGCTACTACAACTTTGTAACGGTGAATATGCTGTCAAATTCGCAAAGTCGCAGCGCTTGAGATGGATAGAGCATGTCATGAGAATGCCGGAAGATAGACCACAAACGCGAATACTCCATTTTACGCCGTACAACGATCGCAGCAAAGGTAGACCACATATTAGATGACTCGATAACGTGACCGACGACATCAGGAAAATGGGTATCCAATGCTGGAGATCTAAAATATCATGCAAAGCAGAATGGAGAAAGCTGGTTGATACAACTAGAGCTCACTCCGAGTTGTAATGCTGATGTGGTGATGATGATGTATACAGAAATGTATAAATATATTTGTTAGGTTAGGTTGGACGTATAAACTGTACATATACAATGAATGAATCCTTTCAAATGAAATGAATCCTTGTAATACAAAAACTTAGAACATTTGGCACAAGCTTTTGTACAATAGAAGAGAACAATTACATTTCTTAGATTTGACTGGTATGCATACATACATTTTTTTGAAAATGTGTTTCATTTTAATATAAACTTCACTACGTTTATACAAAATATATGTCGTAAAACACCTGTACAAAAATAGTAATATAAATAATAAAAACATTTAATTGGTAGTATATGTTAAGCTGGAGTACATAGATACTTATAACCAAAATATTGATTCATATTAATTTATTATATACAATGTTCCCTTTCGAAATACGCATATAATTTTTTAATTTTTTTATACATTAAAAAATCAGATTAGGTGAAAACTCCTGCTAAAGTTATTAACAGTCTTGTATATAAAGGTACAAGTTCTTATTGTTAGCGTTAGTATCTTTTTGCCACAGCTCCTATCTGCGACTGATAGAACTTTTTCCACAAAGTGCCATTCGCCATTTCAAATTTAACTCAATATATTTACGTACATATATAAGAAGATATGAATAAAACTTCACAACCCATATCCAGTGGGTATTTAATTTTATTCTCAAAATAAAAGAATATATCAGCACGCGCATCATACACATCTGCTCGTTTTATGCTCAATCAGAAAGGTTTAAAGTCACTGATACGATATATACACAAAACTATATAAACGTCCAGAAGGTATATGAAACCTCATTGCTTATAAAATTTGAACAAATAGCGGTACACGCCTTGCGTAGTCGGCACTATATGAATTAATCTGTTCTTGATATTTTAAAACGGGTGTTTTTAATAGAATCCCCAAACACAAACTAACTTAGGTAACCAATTCTGATGACACTACACTACACTCCTATGTACGTGAACAATGCAATCGACGTCTTAAAGCTTTGAAAACATTGAATCCAGTTATTATTTCTATGTCGTTTCTCAGAATGCTTAGAGCTATTTGTGTTTTAAATATTGCCTTTCAGCTCACATATCGCCACGAACAAAGCAAAGACCTACGAATTACTTATCAAAGACTAGAAAGTTGAAGCCGAACAGTTTACTTTCACCAATTCTTTTCAAATTATACATATATGAACTTACTCTGAGCCCAATGAGGTAATATCGTTCGTGATACTTTTTTTGGGATGACTCAAAATTATAATAAAATAACATATTTGACTATATTTCATCGTTTTTCATTGAAAATGCGTACTACTTGAATTTGATATATGTCTTTAATTAAATTCTTGATTATGTATTTCATTTAACATACATTTTGCAAATACATTCTAATAAGCTGACACTATAAATTAGTTTTACAGCGTATAGATACACTAATTTAGTTTTATAATTCTACCTCTAGTACATTAATTTTTACCAATTTTATTGGCCAAAGAGCAGCTTAATCCAGTACCATCAGGTTCAACATTTAATTCCTTCACTTGGCCGTCTTCAACAACCATTGAAAAACGCTTAGCACGTACTCCGCCCAATGGTGGCAAATCAATTGTTAGATTTAATGCCTTGGCAAAATTTGCAGCAGGATCAGCTAACATACGAACTTTACCAGTAGCATTATGTTCCTTTCCCCAAGCTGACATAACAAATGGATCATTAACAGATACACATACGATTTCGTTGACACTTTGATTACTCTTAAGATCATCAGCACCAGTTATATAACCCGGTAAATGTGTCTAATGAGTAAAATTCATTATTACTTTATAAATATTCAATTTAATTATTCGATCACCTTTGAACAGCCAGGTGTAAATGCACCGGGTACTCCAAAAATAATTACTTTTTTATTAGCAGTCAAATCGGAAGTGTTAATTTTATTAGCTGGTGAATCTTCAAAAAGATCAACGGAAGGTAATTTATCTCCTACCTATCAAATGAAATATTAACGAAATATAAGTGAGCAGCAAAAATGCATGAATATTATTTTCAATGTACGGTTGGCCATGACCTTCACTTTTTCAAACATACGAGTACATTATTTTCAATATACTTTGTATAATTACATAATTATTTTATATACCAGAAACCAAGTCGTTTTATATAATAAAATAGCTTACTTTGATTTGCGCCATTGCCATTAAATTAATTGAAAATGCACGTCCTGTTTGTTTTCTAAAAACAGAAAACCTTGATAGAGTTGCAACTTTTGATAAAACAGATTGGAATTGCATTTTGCTTTCAACTACGTTTTCATGCGGCGTTTAACTAAAGAATATGCGAGAATAACCAGTGTTGCCAACTTAATAAAACTCTTACATTCATTCGTTTTACGTTTACATATTTTTTGATACATAATTATCATTTATTGCAACATCATATTTGTTTGAATTTTTACAAATAAAATTTTAGACTTGAAGATTTCTTTGAAGTACTATTGAAAGAATAATATAAGGAACATATATCCATATTCGGTTGATCGGATAATATTTTATATAAAGTTTAACATGATGTACAAAAATAAATTTGTCTTATATAATATACAATTAATTATAAGTTATTAGCCAAACGCTCAATGTCATCTAAACTATATGTTGTCATCTTTTTTTCAAAATCTTCCATGAATTTTTTAGTTAAAAGTTCAGACTGTTGCTCTGTAAAAAACTTTCTGAACGAGCGGCTTATTATTTCACGAAGACCCTCAGGACGCATAACAATTAAATTAAGCTTCGATCCGTCTAAAACAATTAAAATACAATTTCAACAAATATTATTACAAATAAACCGAATATTATGAAATTATATATATAATTAAGTAAAATTACTCCAAATAATATTTTGTTTTGAGCTATATTATATATTGTATTTGGTTAATTAAAATAAAATGTTCTCTTTCTAAGCCGGTAAATGCTTCGAGAATGTAAAAATGTACGAGCATTACGAATTGTCCACTTACTCAAATTCGTATACTCGATGCGAACATTTTAATGTGTGAAAATATTCGAGCGGCCCGATCATCTTCGAATAGCTCGAAAAATATTTGAAACAATACCTTTTGTATGTGTGGACGAATAAAGTAAATTCCGCGATCAATTTGCCGTTTCAATTCATTAGAACTACTGTGCTTACAGGTGAGTTAGTTTTAAATATATAAAATATATGAACAAAAACGGTAATTCTCTTATTCGTCCGTAACAAAAAATCGCTTTTAGTAACACTCAGTTAATACCTTTTATACTGGGATAGAAAGATACACTACATTCATCGCTTAAAGTTCTACCCACTAGCAACAATTTTTGGTTTCCTATAGGGATTTTTAAAATTTTTTCTATCTGTTTTTTTATATCCAAAATGGTAGTAGCCTCATTCACCTAAATAGAAACAGAAGCATTTTGTACAAGGTATACCAAATATCATAACATATAATTACCTCTAACGGGCAATCTTGTCCTTTTAAAACTTTTATAATAATGTGCATTTTATAATTTAAGTCTTTTATTCTAAATTTAAATAGATTTTGCTCCTCAAGTACTATTTATTTTAACAAAAATTTATTTTCCAAGAAGTAAACTTATTAATGAAATGTCAAAAATGTGTGCGAGCATTGCCAAGTTGTTTGAAGAGAATTAAAATATATGAGACTGGCACATATGCATTATATAGTAGCAAAAAAAATAAATAAGCTTATTTACATACATATATTTGTATTTTTATAATCAAATTATTTAGTTAATATGTATATCTTCTTGAAAATTTTTTTGAATAGATGCTACGTGATAGTGCTAACAAGTTTCATTAATATTTAAATTTTATCTGTCTGGTGAAGCAAAAATTTCCCGTGTTAAATTTTATTAAATCACTTCCAATAACGTATAAACTGTACATATACAAACAGATAGGCTCGGTTAGATCAGTTAATATCACTATACTTATGAAAAGTGTATAAGGTTTATAACAAAGATTACCTCACTTTTTGGTTTATGTTGATCTAGTATATCCTTTGTATAATAAAAAATTTGACAAAAATTTCAAATGTTAACAAAAGTGTGAATCATATAACAAGGAAAAAAATTTTTTAGTCCTACATTGTTAATTAAATAATGCATCACCCCGTTTACGCGAACCTTATAATACGGCATTTAAACTGGCTGAAAATGACTCATTTTGGTCAAAAATCGAAAATGAGAAGCGAAGGGCTCATTCCTGCATACAAAATTTCAAGTGCGAATGAGATCTATTTCATCACATTCTGTATGAATGCGTCCCAACGACGTTCGAATGCGTTCCAAATATGTTCCAAATACAAAAGAATACATTGAACATACCCTAAATAAAAGCTCTTTATGGCATTTTGACAGTTTGAAAAAACTTTTTTTTTGACATATTTACAAAAAAAGGTAAACAAATGTTTGGTGGTTGCATCTTGAAAACGATGCATCTTTTTTTAGAACTTCACTTCCCAAAAAGTATTTAATCGAAGTTAAAAATATGTTTGCAGTATATATTTTAAGGTTTAAAGGTATATTTAACCTTCATGAAACATTTTTTTGGCACAGGCTAAAAATCAAAACAACAGGCAAGGTGAATAATCAGCTGTTTGAAATGAGAACAATTGAATTGCAACGAATGTAAACACTTTCAAATGGCTCATTCAAAATGAACCATTTTTGGCAAATGTAAACGCCATAAAAGACTCTTAAAATCAAATTTAAGACTTCTTATAATTTGAGAATTTTGGTGAGAGTCGGACGAGGAAAGATTGCGATAAAAAATTGTAAAATAATTGAAAAAGTTATAGACATTTATTTTCTTTAAAAGAAACAAAATTGGAAAAAAATTCTACAAACAATTATTAAAGAAGTTTATAATTTTTAAAAATTATTTTGCGATAAAATCATTTTTTAATAAGTTTTTATATTTTAATAATTATTTTGTGATTAAAACTATTAAAATGCAACATTTTAAAGAATTAAATTAAAAATATTTTTAGTTTTAAGAATTAAAATAAAAAATTAAGTTTAATTCTAAGAAATATGAAATATGTGCGCCCGCGACATGTTTTTCATCTATTACAATTACGCAAATTTTCTTTTGGTATACAAGTAAAACTACAATATTTTATTTTTACGGTATACCTGAGATTTGATTTTAAATTGATAAATAAGGAAAACTAAATTTAACATTATAACCGTATTTATTATGTTATAATATATTTATAATAACAGTTATGAACGTATGTATTTGTTTCTGCGGCCAATCTGTACAGAAATTTGTCTTGACACGCGATCGCATCTGATCTGGACAGCCCTGCTCTATATCGTGCTCTAAGATACATCACTTTTAAGCACAGCGTAAACACCTTCAAACTAGTTTAAGGTTTGAACTGTCAGGTGTTAACTGTCAATAAGTATTTGAATTTTATTACAGAGAAAAAGGGAAATAAAAAGAAAAAATAGGATAAAAGAAGAAGATGAATACTTAATTAAAGTATCTGCAGAAAAAGATATAGTAGAATTGTTGGACGGCAAGAAATATAGAAAGGACACAGTTTATGAAATAGTTCGCCAAGAAATAAAATTCGAAAATATTGCGATTTTATAAAAAAGTTGTAGTTGCATTTCCGTAGTTTTGTAAATTTTATACGGAATGTTCCTAATATCTTCATTATTTTTTTTCTATTTTTTTGGTTACAATATCTTTCTTTTACAATAAAAATAAAACAATTTGTAGTTTTACTCTATGCTTTTTTAGAATATTTAATATCAACAATTTTGTTTATCATTTGACAGCTGACTAATTTACAGCTTCCTTAAAAGTGCTTTTAACTCTTGTGCCTAAAAGCTCTTAAAACTGATTTTAAAATCAGTTTCAAAAGTGATTTTAAGACTCGCATAAACGTAGTGTATATACTTAGTTTTTAAAAATTTAAGACAGCATTTGGACTCTTTTTAACATCTTAAAGATCTCGGGTTTACTGATAACGTATATCTATAAATCAAGTACCAAAACATTTAGAAAAGAAATTTAATTCCATAGTAATTGTATTATAGACCAATGTTTGAAATTGAAGTTATAACCGAAAATAATGCTAAAATGTGATGTTAATTATCACAACATTTAGTGCATCAATGCATTCAAAAACAAAGCTACATTTAAATCGAGATATGCATTTACAACACCTACGTTAATCTGGGCTCTTGTATTAAATAAAATACATAGAAATGCGTTCATAAGTCTCAAAAGATATCCGAAGTGTGCAAAACCTTTGCAGAATCAGAAAACACGTTGCAACATAAACATATAGATGAAGTTCGTAACGTTGTCGTGCTCGGATTTGTGCACACACAAACATGTAGCAAATTACAATATATACTGAATTAAAAGTCATAGACGTCTGCAACTGAGTTTAATCAAAGACGATGGAAAAGACTTTATGCTCTACCTAAAATATAGGACGACTTATTTACACAATACAAGTTTTTGTAATTATTTTGTAATTATGATAAGTATTGCTACAACTTTCGGCCTTTTTTAATAAACAAAAATAAAAAACTAAATTATTACGAAATGAAGATTTACCGTGTTAAGAAAACTTTAGCGATTTGAAACAAACGTATTAGATTGTAATCAAAATTTACGTTATATATGGCATGTGAATAACCTGCTAACTTATACAACAGAAATAGGTGTATTTATTTTAAAATGTACTAACAAAACAAAAATTATGTTATTTGTAAATATTTAATTTATTTAATATCTATGGTTATAGTGTATTCCATTTAGTACATTATTTACAGTTTTTAAACTATATATTAAAAATATGTTTTATTAATATTACAATGACTTATTATGTTAATATTTGTTTTCATTTATAAGAGATCTATGTACTACTAGATTCTGATACGTGAAAAATTTAATGAAATATATATTCCATACAATGTATTGAAATTCCTTCACTTTTTACTACTTGTTAAATTAAAATATAATAGCAACACTGTTCAAATATCATATTTTGTTTTGTCGTGTTTTAGCTTCGTGTCGCTGCGTGTTGACGACGGAAGAAAAATTTTCGCAAAGTTTGGTTTTTCAGTTTTTTACATATTTTTCGTGCAAAAAGTGAAAAAACGTATCATATTAAAGGTGAATATATAATAGCTTATTAATAATATTGAAAATTTTGTGTTAAAATTGAAATATATGAAAATGAGAATTTATTTTTGTGTACTTGTTAAATGGTGTAAGAATTTGTGCTAATTGCGGTTCTTGCGGTGCAAAAAGCATAACAGGAGAAGTAAATGTATATAAATTTTATTAAATAGTGCATTTGTAGCTATTTCTTTACATTAATTATAAAATTAATATTGATGTTTACAAATATTAATCGCGGCAAGGAAAGATTTCACAAACTCTTCCAGTTGCTAGCGGTAAGTGAAAATAAAAATTTTAATTTATTTAACGAAATATGCCTTATCTCTCACAATTGCACTTTATTACCTTTTATCTTTTATGTTCAATTAAGGCTTTGATCGTTTATTTTATGTTTCTTTTATTTGTTGTTCTCCTTTGCGCATCTTCAAAATTTTCTTTTCCTACAGTTTTTCTCACTCAGTGAGCAGCGCTATTTGTTGCTTTCTTTTGGCAACTCTGTTATTCTTATTGATCTAGTTTATGATATTACTAATAAGAATATAAGTGTAAATATTGTTTAATGCCGTCGATATTTAATTACTTTTACTGTGCATCTTGTTTAGTAAGTAGTGTAATTTATATTTATATTTATATTTATATTAGGCGCAGTGATTTTTGTTCTTAACATTTATTTGTTACCAATACAATTACAGCACAAGTCCAAACAAGAATTTGCATTGTAATAAACATGGCGTGACTTAATATATAAAATAGTTTAATAGTTTAATTAGTAGACATTATAGAAAATAATTCAAAATACATTTATATTTTTTTAAATGCTAAAAACTAAAACTATAACTTTTTCAGTAACATGTTTTAATTTTTTTTCACCTTCTTTTATTGCAGAAATAACCGCACATCAAATCATATACTCATAAAAATTTCTTCGTATGTTAATCTAAAGTGTAATGTAATGTAAATAAAATTTTCCGAATGAATTTGAAAATTTTGAATTTAAAGAAAATACATTTTACGAACTATCATTTTAACCAGAACTGTGCATGTACAATAAGTTTTTTAAAAGTGACTGAAAAGTGTGAAAAAAGCACATACTTAACATATATCCCCTAAATAAATGCGTTTAAATATATTAATGGCCGGACACATTACACACATAAATACACCGTATATTGGCATACAATTACTAAGATATTATTATTATTACTATTTAAGTGTTTAATATTATCTTCGATGAGCGATAACGATTCTTTTATATATATATTATATTATTTGTTAGGTATGTTAGTTTAATTTTAGGTCATTTGCCATATTATTACACTATAAACAGTGACGTATGCATTAGATTAGAGTTAAGTTTTATAAACGAAGCATGATTGATGAAAATAAGTCAACTTCGATAAATAATTTCTTATACTTTTATATAATTTCATAAGATTTATTTTCTATGTTTACATGTAGGTTCTAAAAATTAGCATTAAAGTTATAATTATTTTGGATTTTTTTTTATTTATCAAATAAATTTAAAATATAGTCTTTGCATTTGTAAGAAATTCTAAGCAAGATCTATCGATGACGAAATATGAAAAGGCATCACTATTTATTTTCTACTTATTAGCATTTTAATTTCTATTCCCCGCGTGAGTCTTGCATGTTTGATTTCATTTTGTGTTATTGTTTTTACTTTATAAATTTAATTTAATTACTATCTGCATATCTTATATATATCATTTGGCTGATTTATGACTGTTCGTTATGACTATGTGTAGTTTAAAAATAATTAAGATTTTTATGCAGAGAAGCCTTTAATGTTCCACAACATTTTTATGGAAGATTTCAGTGAGAGTTTATGATAAGCATAATGTATCTTTATATTTTACTAGTAGTGAAACTAATTTGATAATTTACCATTTGTTATAGTTATAATTTACCATTTGTTTTACCAGTTATAGTTTACCTGCTGTTTCTTTTTATGCTTAAATCATTCTAAAACTGTTTTGACACTTAAAAAACTGGAGGGGTTTACATACCGAATACAATATGTGACAAATGAATGATCCTTATAAACTTTTTCTAAAAACGATCTAACCACACTTACCATGAATGGAGAAAATATACGAATTGTAACAACAACCAAGAGTTGCATCCAATCTTTATTGTTGATTAAACTGTACTGAGTATTTACTTAGTTGTTCTTGTATTTGCAACCTTAATTTTTGTAGAGACTATTGCAGTCTTTTCAAATAAGCAAGTTTAATTCCAAAAAAGTTTTAAAACTAGTAATTAAACGTTTTTAAGAACATATAACTTATTTTTTGTATCTGTTATTTTAAGTTTTTTTAATAACAAGTTTCAGAATGTGCTTTCTGGTCATGTTATTTATTTAATTTTAGGCATACGATAAATTTAACTTGACTGGGGCATAGTCAACATGATTGATGCAGGGTACATAGGAGCCATTTTAATCGATTCTTCGGAATTTTTACTTTTCATTTATTTCGAAAACACCAATAGAAAGTTCTTAGAAAATCCTACAAATGCTTTTCCTTTTTATTCAGTTTAAAATTTTAAAAATTTAACATTTTATTAAATAACAGCCTTGCTGAACAAATACATCCTATTAAGAAATCGTAATTTAAGAGCACTTTAAACATATTTCGCCAATGTCTATCTTATAATATTATTAATTTCGGATTTCTATCATAAATTAAAATTTTGATCGTTGATTAGTAGTTATTTCAAAATGAGAAATTAATCGATTCTGAAGAGACTTATATTAGTTCTTAAAAGTTAACGATGATAAGAATGAAATATTTTAAATATTTTATTTTTATAAAAGTTTATATTTGTTCAAATTTTCAACGGATATAATTCCGGTAAATATATCTACAAATCTACGTTAAGTTAGTTCAATTTTAAAAGAGTATTAAATCATATGCTACTAAATTTGAACCACCTAATTGCTTGGCATACCAACATTTTTGGTATGTCTTATTTTAACCAATTTTTCAAGAATATTTTATAAAATACGGGGTTCTCTCCACACTACAAACATATTTTGGTTTTTTGTGATAATTTAATTTAATTTGTGATTCATGGTTTATTTTTAAATTTCATAATTAATATATTATATAGTATAATTATTTGATATATTTTAAATTTTAACTTATGTTAATAACAGTGGCACGAAAATATGCTCGTCATGTATTTATGTGTGTGCATGTGTGTGTTATGTGCTTAAAAAATATTAAAGTATTTACAAATATCAAAACAAAAAACAAAATATATATGTATATAAATTAATAAAATTTTAAATAAATGTTTTTAGTTTTGTTTAACACATAACACATAAAGAAATTATAAAAAAAAAAAATAAAAATTTATTTAAACTGCGAGATCTAGACCTCAACATAAAATACGTACTAATATATCAAGAACTCAAACTAAAACTTGTATCCGAGTATCAGCAAGTTTGTTAACTTCGCTTACTGACTGCATTTAAAAGATAATTTATCTAAGATTCTACATAAAACGGAAAAGAAAACAAAAGAAAATAAAATTAAACCATTAAAAGTATCTGCAGAATACAGAACACACGTTAAGGCAGGCGTCGCATTCGGAATTTTTATGCTCCACACATTTGCCACTACCGTTGTGGCGATTTTCAATTTTATTTTATGATTTCTTTTTTTCATATATTTTATACTATTTTATTTTTATTATTATCAAACGTCTGCAACTGGAAATATTCTCTCTTTTTCGCTTATTCTTTTATTTAAAGAATTCAAGTTTTTTGCCATTTGAAACCTCAACTCTTTTCGCGTTCTTCTTTTCCCATCACTCATCATCGCATTATTTGAAACGTTAGAATCTTAACATATTATGGATAACTCAACAACCACATCAGCGGATATATCGCTACTACAGCAAACAGTCAATAAATCTGCAGATACTACATCGACTCTTAACAATAACAACAATAATTTTAATATAACTACAATAACAACGGCTACAACTAACGGCACTAAAGAGAATAACAGTAACACAACAACAACCGCACTACCAACAACTTTATCTTCATCATCATCATCATCATCATCATCACCATCAGCGTCAGCAACAACTCTGATACCGATTGTTGTTACATCCGCCAATAGTGGTGCTGCTCCAAACTCATCGCCAAATTCATTGAATTCTTCACAGCTTTTAAACTCAACAGCAGCGAATAGTGAGGTGAGTTCATTTTATTATTTTATATATTGTAAAATATTT